GCGGGGGGGGGGGGGGGGGGGGGGGGGGGGCAGGCCCAGGGAAGACTGCTCTGCAGGAGGTTTCAGGGCACACCCCTGTGACTAGGACCCAGGCAACAAGGTGGCATGCTGATTCATGAAGGCACAAGCCTTCCAGGTTCAGCAAGGGTTGGGGCTCACTGGCATCTCAAGTGCAAGTGGGAATCAAGGCAGAGGCAGCACCATCAGACTGAGCTTTTGCAGATTACTCTGGAAGCAGTACACAGTAGAGGGAAAGGGACTGGGAACAGGTGAGACTGGTTAGCTCTTGCCTTGGGTTAGGATAAGGGACCTGTGAGACAGGGAAGCCGGAGAGTGGCAGGGATTCCAGCCAGCAGGGCAGGCAGGGGTGCCCTGACCTTTGTAGGAGAGTCCAGCCTTGGAGAAGGCACAGTTGGGAAAAGGCTATTTTGGCTTCCCTGGCTCACCAGTTGGCCTCTTGTCCCTCTGTTCCCCCTTCTCAGGGGAACTTCTTTCAGAACATCGGCTCCATCACCCTCTTTGCTGTCTTTGGAACGGCTATCTCGGCTTTTGTAGTAGGTGGAGGAATTTACTTTCTGGGTCAGGTAAGCAAAGCACCCCGATGACCTTGAAGATCTTCTATTGGAGGGTAGTGCAGGGTGGGGCAGGAGCTGCCTGGTAGTGTGTGCCCTCCTTGGAAGAAGTCCCCGCTCATGCCTGTGTCATGGGCATCTGGAATTGAGGGGACTGTAATCACCCCCAGATACTTGATTCTACTTGCAAACCAGTCTCTTCCATTGAAATGCCGTGAAGCAGAGTAGTTTGCAGTCCTGCACCCTGAAATGATACAATGGCAGTTGTGTTCTCAGGGCAACTGCAGTAGGGCCGAAAGCTGTTCTTGGGTGAAGATTTGCCTTTAAACCAGAGCTGGCTATGAATCTGTTCTCTCAGTTCCCATGATGCTGCTTGCCGTTGTGAGCCCTTCAATGAGGCAGCAGCCCAGGCTTTGGGCTTCACATTAGTTTACTTCAGCTAGAACGAAAGCCTCGGAAGGTGGCACTCAGACCTTTACGGTGTGTGCTGTGCAGCACCCGTTCTTGTATCGTGTCCAGAAAGCTGAGCCACCCCAGTGCTGAGAACAAACCAAGCTGAGGGTACAGCGGATTGCTGTCCATGTGGCTGCTGTTTCTCTTGGTAGCCACAGCCTATTCCTGCTGACTGTGTTACCTTCAACAGCCAAGATCAAGTGTGCCGTGCAGCTTTCCTAGATGCTTGCCTTCTCTGTGTTCCCTCGGGGTCAAGGGAAGCCCCCTTTCGAGCAGAGGATGATAGCTGCTAGGATGGAAGAAGGAGAATTGTGCCCATCTTTGGGTCTAGGTGCCCATGTATGATCACAGCAGCCCTTTGGGGTTTCCTTTCAGTGGGGACTGAAGATAATGTCCTTATTAGTTGATAAGAAAGCACTGATGGACATTTTCTTGGCTGTTCTCCAGGGAATTTTTTTGTGTGTGTCTGTGTGTTTGTGTGTTTTATTTTACAGGCTGATGTAATCTTTAAACTCAACATGACAGACAGGTAAATCTTTCACACTGTAATTTTTTCATGCAACTGCTGTTCAGGCCTGGGACATTTTTTGCACGTGGCTTCCTGGGTGTGGTCCTTTCCTCTCTTCCCTCTGCCTGACTTGCCATTGTTTTCAGTATAGAATCTATTCTGAATTAATTATCTCTGAAATGAATCAAAATTATATTGAGACTTGAAGACCCCTGGTCACAACATTGTTGATTGAAATGATTGATCTCATTTATGCTTTGGAGGGAATGACTGGCCAGTTAACTACCCACCCGTATCCCAGTCACATCATATACTCTGTCCTTCCATTAGGAATTGTTTCAGAGCTGGGAATGTATGTATAGCTCAGTGGCAGAGCCCTAGCCTGCCACTTATGAGGCCCTGGGTTTAGTCCCCAACACTGTAAAAGCAAACAAACAAAAACCTCAGTTTTCTTTATAGCCATTGTGGAAGGAGGTTGCCTTCCTAATAAGTATGGAATTCCCACCAGGACTAGGGGAAGCAGGTAGGACCTGGCCTTGGGATGGATATCTTCTCAATCTGAAGCCTCTCCAGAAGACACTGCAGTGACCTTCTGCTCAGGAGGCTCTTAAAATCTTCTTAACCCGCTCAGGGAGCAGCAGCTTGGGCAGCTGCATCCCAGAAGGCACCAGATATAGAGTTCCAAAAGGACCCTAGCCCAGTGCAGTTGAGAAGTCTGGATTGTGCCTTGCTCTGTGTCCCTGTGTCCATTCTTAGCACCTATCAGTGGCCGAGTGGGGAGCTGAGGAAGAAAGCCAAGTAGTCAGTTCTAGATCATTCCTGCGAATTGAGAATGTCAGACTTTAGCTACAGTGTAGCACCCTGGACCAGAGCCTCAGAACCTGTTCGTAGAAATGAGCCACTGATAACAAGCTTGGTCCCCAGTGCCCATCCTTCACCCGCCCTAGGCAGGAGAACTGGAGCTTTTGTTGTTTAAAAAAAGAAAAAGTATTCCTTGTTTGTTTGTGACAAGGTCTTATTCTATAGCCCAGGTTGCTCTGGAACTCAATATGTAGCCCAGGCTGGCCCCCAAACCTGAGGCAGTCCAAGTGTCGGGATTACAGATGTGTGAGCAGTCCAGAAAGTTTGATACATAGCCAAGCAGCCAGAGTCACCTTCCTACAGGAGGAGCCTGAAGTACAATAGAACCAGGCCCTGGTGTTTTCTAGGTATGCTGGAAAAGAAAGGAAAGGAAAGGAAACGCCCAGAGCACTCTTGACATTAAGGAAGGTGTGGGCTCTGCCTGCTTTTGGGGATACTTGTGAAGAAGCAGTGTTGATCATTGTCTAGAATGAAGTTAAAGCCAGGAGTTGGACATTTGGGTGGAGAGACAAAAGCAATACCTTTGGCTGAGTGGGTAGACCTCCAGCCAGCCTCCCCCTGTGCAGATGCGCCCTTTCTGTTGGAGGCTCTGTGCATTGGATAGAGACTGCTGTATAGGACCGCAGAGCTTTAGCAGAGGGAAGTGATCAGAGTAATGGAGGTCTCATGGTGGCCACAGCCTACTGCAAGGGACAGCACTCCTCAGCTCCTCCTGATCGCCATGTGGACACATGGCCTGCAGTTACTAAATGTTTAAAAAGTTTTTGGGGGGCTGGAGAGAAGGCTCAGAGATTAAGAGCACTGACTGCTCTTCCAGAGGTCCTGAGTTCAATTTCCAGCAACCATGGTGGCTCACAGCCATCGGTAGTGAGATCTGATGCCCTCTTCTGGGGTGCAGGCATATATGCCAGAACACTATACACATAATAAATAGATAAATCTTTTTTTTAAAAAATAGTTTTTCTGTGCTGGGGGTGGAGCCCAGGACCTCATGTGCTAGGCAGGTGCTGCACGTATGTGCCGCTGCTCTGCTTTACAGAACCTTGAGGGAGGACATAGTGACCACACCTTTAATCCCGGCACTCCAGAGAAGTAGATTTCTGCGAATTTGCAGCCAGTCTAATTAGAGAGTTCCAGGACAGTCAGAGCTGTTATACAGAGAAACCCTGTCTTGGGGGAAAAAATAACATAAACAAGCAAACAAACAAACAAGTAAATAAATAAATAAATAAATAAATATACTTCTTAGCCAAAAGGAAGTCAGTTTCTGTCTCTCTCTCTCCCTCCTCCCCTTCTTCCTCCCCCTCTCTCCTTCCTTCCTTCCTTTTCCTCTCCTTTCCCCACCCCCCCCCCACAGACAAACATACACAGAGTATGGATTAAGTGGTTTTTGATGTTGTCATGTAGAGCATCATGTAGCCCAGACTGACCTCAAACCTTCTGTGTAGCTAAGGATGACCTTGAATTTCTTCAAGTGCTGGGATTATAAATGTATGCCACCATACCTTGCTTCAGTTTTACTGTTTGCTTTTTGAGACAGGACACCCCACTACGTAGCCCTGGCTGACCTAGAAGTCACTTTATACTTGAGGCTGGCCTTGAACTGGAACTTATGGAGGAGGTTCGCTGCCTCTGGCTGGCACTAATGTTGTGCCACACCCAGCCCATTGCTCCAGTTTTTGAGTGTTGACAACACCAATTTTCCCACAGACCCACAGGCTGCCTGTCTCGCCTCTGCTTTTCTGAGAATACAGCCATGGCTCGTGGTATGGGCCTGGCCACAGATATCTCTGCTGGCGAGAGTTTGCCATTAGTAGATGGCAACAGCTCTCCAGCTTGTCCCTGCTCCTCTCCAAGTCTCACCCTGTCCATCTTTCCATGTTTTGCTGGTGTCACTAACTCTGAGGGAGAGAATAAAAGAGCATGTTTTTAGCTTGAGCCAGTTGCTTGAAGCCTTTTGAGGACTGGGTCCTAACGGTGGATGTGGAACCACTGCTGGCCAGACCCAGGCCTTTTGAGGCCTCGGGGCTCATGGTCAACCCTTACCAACTGAGTTCCCTGCGAGCACCACTGTCCTGTGCTGGCTTTTCCACAGGCATGGCCCCAGTTTTGTATTCTGAAGAATATGACTCAAACATCGAGACCCTATGTAGTGAGCACCTGCACCTACAGCTCCTCCTGGCCTGCATCTCCAGGATCTGTGTTAGCGCTCCCTCTGTCCATCCCTTCCCAGGCATGCCTGTGGGCCCTGATCCCAGAGTTCTGGTTAAGAGGCTGCAGTAACTAACAAAGTACCTTGGGCAGGCATCTCCCTGTGTACCTGCAACCCAGTAGGAATGAAGTTCACATCAAAAATGGTTGTTGGCTCATAGGGCTGAAGTGTCTCAAGCATGATGGCCCTAGCTCAGCACCCTCCAGGACACTCTCCTCTCAGGGGTCTCAGACCAGCTCTCCACTCGCTGGTGTCCACCTCACGTGGAGCGCAGGCAGCTCCAGGCACTCTTCACTTAGGGTCAGTCCGCTCCTAGTGACCTGGCAAAACTGGTCCAACCTTGTGCACTGTACCCACTCCCTAGAAAGTGGGAAGACAGCACCAGAGGCTGTGGGTGTTGGGCAGAGAGACCAGAGACTGTGTCTAATGCACTCCATACAAGACCCCTGCAGAGCACAGCCCACTGTGGCCTCCTTTGACACAGTTGAGCTGTTCATCTTCCTTGATGTTCCTGTGGGTGATATCTCCCAAGTGCTGGGGTTACAAGTGTGTACCCTCAGCTGTTTTGTGATGCTTGGGATCAAACCGAGGGCCTCCAGCATGCTTAGCAAGCACTGTAACCCAGTCCACATTGTGCTTCCTAAGTTGACCTGGGCCTTGCTTATTGCTACACCCTCCCTCAAGGCCAGAGGCACTGGCTCTGAGCTAGACAGTCAGTGGTGAAGGGCTTGGGGCCAGATCCCACATGCTAAGGAGATGTTAACTGGTGAGCCCTAAGGGCTGAAAACCTGGTCGGTGGATGACCAGTATTCAGGCATTGGACCTTATAATCAAGCGCTACCTGTGAAACCTGAGGGCCCAACTTCCAGTCAGGAGCCCGGGCTGCATCCTCTGGTGGCTGCTTGCTTTTGGCACCTTCTTGGATGTTGCAAATCAAAGTGGAGGCTGGTCTTGGGCACAATTGGCACAGTTGACCTGGTGGTAGAACAGAGGTCAAAGCCTACTGTTTATATGATTTTCTGGCTGAGAAATCTGGGCAGTGTGTGCTACGGTAAGCAGTCTTCTGGGCAGCGTTGGCCAGAACAGAGTACAGCACTGCTGCTGGGATGCAGGCACTCTCAGCACTGTGTCTAAGCCTCTCCGCCTGTGCTAGGCAGGGGTCGGTGGGAAGCCCACCCTCTCTCCTGGCCCTTCAGCTGCCATCTCAGCATCACGTCCAGAGCGCATCTGTGTGGACCCAGCACCATGCTTTACAGAATCTGCCTTGCTTTTCTCCTTGCAGTTTTGCATTTGGCTCCCTGATATCTGCGGTTGACCCAGTAGCCACTATCGCAATTTTCAATGCACTGCACGTGGACCCTGTGCTCAACATGCTGGTGTTTGGAGAAAGCATTCTCAACGATGCAGTCTCCATTGTCCTAACCAAGTAAGTAGGAGAGAGTAGAAGGTCCCAGCACCACTCTGACGCCAGTACAGAGGTTAGTCCCATGTGATCGGCTCTCTACTGCCTCTGCATCGACTGTGTCTCAGCCAGGCTGCTGAAGGGAGGTGTGTCTGTGTTTCTCAGCATCCTGGAAGGGCTTCTTAGAGGTGACATCCCAGGTTGTACCTCATAACCTCTTTTGCAGTGGGTCTGTGGTATGCTCCCTTGATGACCAGTAGCAGCCAAGTGAGGGATTAATGTTCAGGCAGCATTGCTGAAGTAGTGAATGCCATGTGGGCCAATGTTGCGGGCTTGCTCAACCCTGTAAGAGGCCATGGTGCCATGTCCAGCTCCATAGAGACCAACAGCTTACAGAGGGCAGAAGTGGAGTTCCAAGTGATTGTGAACTGCAGTGTGGGTGCTGAGAATCAGACCAGAATCCTCTAACTACTGAGCCATCTGTTCAGCTTCCTCCAGCTGTGAGATAGTCTCATGTAGCCCAGGCTAGCCTCAGATTGACTATGTAGCCAAGGATGACTGTGACCTGCTGTTCCTCCCTCCTCCACGTCTCATGTGCCTGGGTAAGAGTCCTGCTCCACCACATGAGGTTGAAAAATGAAAGTTTTCATTTTCCCGGGGTTGCTGCCTTTGATGGAATCTGAGATCTGACATGTTACAAGGCAAAACACAGGTTTTCCTGTTGACCCCACCCAGCCATGTGACTCTCTACCTCTCTGAGCTCCCCAACAGATTATATATGGCAATATGGCCTTGGCCTCACCTTGAACTGAAGGACTGACTAGGTGGGTAAATGCAACGCCCACCATTTGAGAGGCAGCTAGCTCCTCTAGCCCTGCCCTGTTCTTATGAAGTCACCTCTTCACCAGCTGCTGCAGGCAGGGCTTGCCAAGCAGTGCTCAGGTACAGGAAGTCCTCCTCCGACCTTAAAACAGAGCCAGACTTCAGAATGTTCTGTTATTCTAAGACTAATACATATTCCTCATAAAAAGGTAGAAAATGTTGGCACACAGTTATTATCCTTAAAGTAGAGGTAAGAGGGTAGAGAGTTCAAAGTCGTTGGGCTTAGTGACTCACACCTCTAGTCTCAGCACTCGGGGGCAGAGGCAGACAGATCTCTGAGTTCCCTGCCCTCCCACTGCCTTCTCACACCCTCTTGATAGAAATGGTGAGCACCATGCATATGGCCTTTAGAGCTGGTTTTATTCTCTAAGATATTTCCTACAAGTTTGACTTAGTTGGTACAGTGCTTACCCAACATGTACAAAACCCTGGGTTCGTCCAGAGCAGCACATACAACGTGCGTGGCAGCACATACCTATAATCCCAGAATTTGGGAAATAGATGCCAGAGGACCAAAAGTTAAAGGTTATCCTCTACTACATAAGGAATTTGAGGCTAGCCTGGGCTACATGGGACCCTGTGTCCAAAATAGATTCTTTTCTAAAAGCTTCTTAGGTCTTTGCCCATATCCCATCTCCTGGTGCACACACTAAGCCATATGGTAGGGAATTGCCTGCTTGTAGGTGATGGCATGAGCTGTTTCTATGGTTAGGAGCAGAACTCAAATGCTTTGCCTCTGATTTCTTTGAAAACAAGTCTGTCAGTAGGAAATAACAGTTTTCTCAGGCCTCTGTTGCACAACTGCCACATTTAAAACAAATGGAAAGGTTGTCATCATTACACATCTTACTGGAAGAGTGGCTTCAACGGCCACCCACATTAGTTCCTGCAGGTGGCTCTGGATTATGTATATCTAGAATGGGTAACTTCCTTTTTCATTGTCAGGGCCACCTCCGTTACAGTCAGATTCTCTGGACAGCAAATGCTCTAAAGGTTGTCTACCTTCTGCCAGTGTGGTTTAGATTTTAGTTGGATGTGACTTACTTGGTCCATGGTGGGCCAAAGAGAAGTGTCACGCAAGAGAGGGGCAGAGGCAGGAATGCTATGGAGGATTCCAGAAAGGGTGTCTTATGCTCTAGGCCAGTGAGCATTTTCAGACAGAAGCAGGAAGAATGGAGATAGAAGGCTTGTCCCCTTTTCATTGGCCTCTGAACTTCCAAAACCCAGCTGCTGTCCCTCCTGGTTCCGAGGGGGTGCTTGTGAACAACAGTTCTTTCCAAAGTGCTCAGGCCTCTCATCTACATCGTAAATGCAGGGCCTCCTTTCAGTGTTGCCAGAAAGCAAAGCCCTTCTGGTTCTTTTTTAACTCCTGGGTTGTTTTTAGCTTTATTTATTTACTTGGTGGTTTGGGGTTTTTTTGTTTGTTTGTTTTTGTTTTTTTGAAACACAGTCTCCTGACACAAGCTGGTCTTGAACTCCTGATCTTTCTACCTCAACTTCCAAGTAGTTCCTTTCTAGCTTTAATTTGCTGTTATCAAAGTTTTTCCTTTTGTCAGTTGCTGGGAAGGAAACCCCATCTTATACCCTGAGGGTGTCGGTCTGCTTTAAATTTTTTTGGCGTTCCTGTAGGCAGAGGAATGTTTGTTTGTTTCCCGACTGCCCACACCTGAAATAATCACACAGAAACTATATTAACTACAACACTGCTTGGCTAATCGCTTAATCATATCGCTAGCTAGCTCTTATATCTTAAATTAACCCATTTTCATGATTTTATATTTTACTACGAGGCTCAAGGTTTACCGGTAAGGTTCCTGAGATCAGTCTGCTTCAGTGGCTACATGGCATCTCTCCAACTCCACTTTCTTTTTTCCTCAGTCTCTGGTTAGAATTCCTGCCTTGCTCTATTCTGCACTGTAATAGGCCCACAACAGCTTCTTTATTAACCAATGGTAATAAAATATATTCACAGCATACAGAGGGGAATCCCACATCATGATCCCAATCCACCTGCTGGTCCTTGGCTATGACAGCCAGTTATTCTGTGGAACTCTGCTCCCTGCTCTAGTAAGCAGGCAGCAGATTAGTGTGTTCCAACCAGAAACACAGAATGCTGAGCTGCACAGGGAGATTAGAGATGGAGTGTGTTCATGAGGGACACTGAGATGGATCACTAGGGCGATAAGTAGTTTATTGGGAAAGTTGCTAACACTGTGGGTACCAGAAGCCATGGTGGGGGCTCCAAGAACCTTTCAGGCTTTAGCATCAGAGATACCATGCAGGGTCTGGAGGAATCAACCCATGAGGCAGAAGTAGGAATTTAATTTTTACACTGTTCTAAGAATGGAAATGTTTCACAACATAAGCCTGGGTGGAGGCTCTCTGATTCCCAGGTAGGAGGCAGGGGAGGGAGTGGGAGCAGCATGTATGGCCACCAATAGGTCCTGGTTCAGGGAAGTCTGTAATCCAGGGACTCCCAGTGTCTCAGCAGGATGTCTGTAGGTAAAGGTGGAGGGGTAAGTCCTGAGCAGCAGCTGGGCTCTCCCATTGCATTCTTACACACAGGTGTGGGTGTGGTCCAGTGGGGATTTGGTCAACCAAATCAGCTTCCAGCAAGAGCCCTTGTTGCTCCCACATTCCCTACTTGATCTGCTGGGAAAGGAGGAGTCGAGGAGATGACACAGGAGCTCAGGAAACTTAGGTGATGAGTTCTTTTCAGTTAATACTTTTATTTATTTTATATGTATGTGTGCACTTATATGCACACAGTCCAAAATTGGAACTCAGAGCACATCCTTCAGCAGTTGATGCTCAGGTTTTTCCGCAGGCACCTCTGTCTTCTGGGCCATCTGGCTGCCCTCTGAGGGCAGACTATTTGTGAGACCTCTCCGACTGCTTCATGTTCCTCCAGCCTGTGCATCTGTTGCCAGGGATATGAGGTCACCTGACCAATTTATCTCTTCATCAGAGGTCGGTCTCCTCTCTCAGATAGAATACCAGTTAGTGAAGCTGAATGGCTCTTAATTTGTTGCCTGATTCCACAGACACACATGAGTACCTCTGATAGGCTGCACTGTGCTTTGGCCTGGGACAGAACAGGATGGAGAGAGTCCCACTGTAGTTGCCGCACACTCTGAAGGAAGAGCTGGCTCAGAGGGACCTGGAAATGAGTTGACCTGCTCAGGAAAGGTGTTTCAGGGAAGGAGGGGACTGTCCCAAAGGACAGGTAAGTTAGCAGAGCCAGGGACAGTGAAGAATGCCCTGCAGAAAAAGGCCAGTGCCCATGTAGGACACCACAGAGGAGAAAGAACTGGACAGAGCTGTCAGGGATCGGCCATGCTAAAACTTTGGAGCAGCTGTTCCTTGGCAAGTGTGTGTTAAGGAGATCACTTCAGCTGCTGATGCAGATCTGACTTGAAGACAGATGTGGCTCAGAGAAGGGTGGAGGTGTGGCCTGTGAACAGACCCAGGACGGAGAGCAGAGGACCCTGTGTGATGTTATCAAGAGCAGCTCTCTATTAGTGGTGCTCTTCCCTTTGGGAACAAAGTCACTTTGACTGGCTTCCCACAGCTGCTTTGGCACAGTGAAAGGGAGGACCTTCCAGCTCATCTCTGGGCTCCCTGAGTTCTCCTCTCAGCCCGAAGCCCTGTCTGGGGCTTTATGGTAGGATTCCTATACTCAGAATGGTTGAGAGGATGAGGCCTTCAGGGTGAACCGCTGGCCCTCCCACTGTCCATGGGCCCTGCACTGGCTGCTGCTCTGCTATGTCTACCCCTGGGCAGTTTCCTCAGCCTGAGAACCCTTTCTCTTAAGTGGAAACCCAGTCTACATTGCGTCAGGAACCTTCCTCAGCCACCCTCTCCCCAGCCTGAGTTAGATGTCCACCCTGTTTTCACAGCCCTTGGCCCTTCCCCCTCATTTCCAGGGCAGCTCCTGAGGACATCACCTTTGCCCTCACCTCTGAGCCCCAGAAACCACCTGGACAAGTAGGTGACCATAGAACATGGAGTGATGGACAGAATGCGGGAAAGAAGGGGGATCTAGAAAGAACAGTTATGCTCAGAGCTGAGACTGAGGACTCCGTCTACAGCACTTTAACTTTCTCTGTTTCCTTCTTTCCTAGCACGGCTGAAGGTCTAACAAGAAAACATATGTCGGATGTCAGTGGGTGGCAAACGTTCTCACAGGCCCTCGGCTACTTCCTCAAAATGTTCTTTGGCTCTGCAGCACTTGGCACTCTGACTGGCTTGATTTCTGCATTGATATCCTTTTAGCATGGGAGCACGAGGTACAGGGATCACATGGATGGCATATCCACTCTCACTATTTTCTCCTCTTCCTCAAGGGTCCAATTTTAATCTAAAGCTTTTTAAAGGAAGGTTTTGTGCTAAACTGTGGTTTGAGAAAGACTCTAAACTCAAGGACTCTTAAATTCGACCTCTGAAGAGTTGGGAGGACACTTTCTCTTCTAGACATCAGCTGGCCTTGAGCTTTGTGTCCTGCTGAAATGACAGATCTTACCAACCACCATTGCTCAAGGATGCCAGTTTCTTTAATTCTTTTTTTTTTTTTTTTTTTGAGACAGGGGGTCTACATAGCCCTAGCTGTCCTGGAACTCAGTATGTCTGATTAGGCTGGCCTTAAACTCACAAAAATCCATCTGCCTCTGCCTCCCAAGAGCTGAGATTAGAGCTGTGTACTACCACTCCTGGCAGGGATGGCATTCTCAAAGCCTTGCTATTAGGGTGGTGGATTTGATCTGACCTGCTGCTGCTGCAGGCTGAGAACCACAGACAAATGACGTCATTCTATCACTGCTATGGTTCTCACACCCAGAAAACTGGAATTTTCTTAGCAACTGTAGGTTGTATGTGGATTTTGTTTGTTTGTTTTTATTTAAGATTTATTTTTAGCCAGGTAGTGGTAGTGCATGCCTTTAATCCCAGCACTTGGGAGGGAGAGACAGGTGGATCTCTGAGTTCAAGGCCAACCTGGTTTACAGAGTCCCAAGACAGCGGAGCTATGTAGAGACTGTCTCAGAGAGAGAAAGAAAACAGTTGTGAGCTAGGTACTAGGAACTAAACTAGTGAGGTGGCTCTTCACCACAGAGCCGTCTCCCTAACCTAGAAGTGTGGTGCTCCGACCATCCTCCCTGGGTGAGTTTATCTGGAAGGATGGCAAGGGCTTTCAGGAAGTACCATCCACATGGACTTTCAGGAAGTACTGCCCACATGGTTTGCACTGTGAATTGCTTTCCAGATGAGGGCTGTCAGCCAGAGAACAGGACTCTATGGCAATGAGACATTATTGCTGGTGACAGTTTATCTGCAGAAATAGGACAGGATCCAGAGAGGTTCGGCAACTGGCCCATGTCCCCAGAATGGCCAGATGGCCCTCCTGAAGCAGTTTGTCTCTCAGCTAGCTGGAACACTCTTGCCTGGTTCTGAGTATGTTTCTTACCGCACTGGCTATGTTCTGGTCTGTTCCTCTGTCCAGAAGCTGAAGGCTGATTGAGTTGCTGAACAGCTGTCAATAAGCAGAGTGAGGATGTAACGTTTCCTCTACACTTAGAGCTCAGCAGTTAAGAGCACTTGCTGCTGCTCCTACAGAGGATCCACGCTCAGTTCCCAGCACCCATATGACAGCTCACAACTACCTGAAACTCCAGTTCCAGGGGATCAGACACCTCTTCTGACCTCTGTGGGCACTGTACATATGTGGTACACAGGCATACAGGCAAAACACTCATACACATAAAACATAAAAAAAAATTAAAAACATGCCAGAGATAGTGATACATGCCGATAATCCCAGCATTCAGGAGACTGAGGCAGATGGATTCCCACAAGTTTGAGGCCAGCAATACTGCATAATAAGATCCTGTCTGAAAGAGAGGCAAAAGGAAGAGGAGGGGCAGAGAAGGACAGAAAGAAAACAGCAGTGAATGTGGCTGCCTTCAAGGAGCACATATTAATGAGGCAAGAACATGGGAACTCCGCTTCAGTCAGGGCCTGGGAACACGGGCCCTCTGCTCCTAGGGGCATGAGTGGTATTCTGCAGGGACAGGAAGGACAGGCCTTTCAGCAGGGCGATGAGTCCTTGGAGAGTAAGCAGTTGAGTGAGCTGTCTGCAGCCACAGATAAGACAGTGTCTCTGAATGTCTGTCAGGTTCTTGTTCCTACAAAGAAAAACAATTCTGTAGTGAGAAATTCCCCACTGTAACTGTGCCACATCAGTGTCTTTCTCACTGCTCGTCTGCTTTATATGTCTGTGCCTTGCCTTGCGTTCCTCCAGTGCCCTGAGCCTTTCTCCTTGACACCTGTGCCACGTGCTGAAGCACATTGACCTGAGGAGAACACCTTCCCTCGAGTTTGGCATGATGATCATTTTTGCTTACCTGCCATATGGGCTGGCAGAGGGAATCTCACTCTCAGGTAAGGTATAGTAACCAGCACCCTGTGACCATGGCTAGAGACAATAACCAGCACCCTGTGACCGTGGCTAGAGACAATAACCAGCACCCTGTGACTGTGGCTAGAGATAGTAACCAGCACGCTGTGACCGTGGCTAGAGACAGTAACCAGCACACTGTGACTGTGGCTCAGTGTTTTACCTGGTGATAGAAGTTTTGTCAGGTGAGTTGCTTTCTCTTGGCAGAGGTAACGGTGCTGTGATGGCCCCAGTTTTACCACAAGAAAACCTGAGGTTGAAGTGTAGTACACTGGGGTGGGGCAGGTGATAGGGCAGAAGGGTCCCGAGTTCAAGGTCGTCTTCCACCACACAGTACGCTTAGCCTGGGCTTCATGAGATTCTGCCTCAGAAACACTTAAACTCTGAGATGGCTCAGCAAGTGCAGGCAGCTGCCACCAAAACTGATGGCCTTAATAATTCCCATAGTGGAAGGTTGAGAACCGACTCCAGCATTTGTCCTCTGCCCTCCGCGTGTGCACACACTCCCGAAAACATAGACAGAGGGCAGACAGACAAAGTAGCTAAATCAGTGTACTCTATTTAAAAAGTCAAGGGCTAGGGCTGGAGAGATGATGGCTCAGAGGTTAAGAGTATTGCCAGGTCTTCCAAAGATCCTGAGTTCAATTCCCGGCAACCACATGGTGGCTCACAACCATCTGTAATGATGTCTGGTGCCCTCTTCTGGCCTGCAGGCATACACACAGACAGAACATTGTATACATAATAAATAAATAAATAAATAAATAAGTAATATTAAAAAAAATCAGGGGCTAGAGAGATGGGTCAGTTGGTAAAGTGCTCACTGTGGAACATGAGGATGTGAGTTTGAATCCACCTTGCTCAAGGGAAAGCTAGGTGTACAACGTGCGTGTGTCTGTAGCCCCAGCACTGGGGTGCTGAGACGTAGAGATTCTCAGAGCTTGCTGGCCAGTCAGTCTAGCAGAATTGATGAGCTCCAGGTTCAATGAGAAGCCCTGCATTAAAAATGAGATCAATAGCGGAAGACACCTGAAGTCAAACTCCAACCTCCACATGCACATACATACAAACAGGCATGCAGATGCCCATACAAAGCGTGTATACACGTGTACACAGCACAAAAACACTTACTGCTGTCGCAGCTGGAATTAGAGCTTAGAGCAGTGATGTCTGGACCCCTGAACTGAGGCTCAGAACTGGCTTATCCAGCTCCCTCCAGCAAGCTTCTCATGAAACCACACGCTGCAACAGGATAACAGTGGGGCTGACACGCAATAAAATCTTTTGTTTTTTGTTGTTATTTTTTTGAGACAGGGTTTCTCTGTAGCTTTGGAGCCTGTCCTGTGTTGAAATAGGAGCGGCAGGGCTTCGTCCTCAGCACCCCAGCCGCCTGCTAGCTTATGCCCGAAATAACAACACACAAACTGTATTCATTTAAAGACTGCTTGGCCCATTTCTTTCTAGCCTCTTCTAGGTTAATTCTCGCACCTGGATTAGCCCATTTCTAATAATGCGTGTAAGCACCCCAAGGTGCGCTTACCGGGAAGGTTCTAACCTATGTCCATCTTGGGTCGGAGCTTCATTGCATGTGCCTCAGAGAGCAGAGCTATCGGGAGAGCGGAGCATGGCATCTCTGCTCCAGAGAGCAGAGCTGTCGAGTCTGAGCTCACTTCCTCTTTCTCCCAGCATCCTATTCTGTTTACTCCACCCACCTATGTTCTAAGCTATGAGGCCAATCAGTGTGTTTATTACTTAACCAATGAAATCAACAGATTGATATATGACACTCCCACATCAGTCCTGGAACTAGCTCTTGTAGACCAGGCTGGCCTCATATTTGTTTTGATTTTTGAAGTCGGAATTTAGCCCAGGCTAGCTTTGAACTCAAAATCTTCCTGCCTCAGCCTCCTTCATAGCTGAGGTGACAGATGTGTGCTCCCTCGCCACCTCCTGGAGTGGGTATCCAATTGACTCCTTACTCAAGGTTGTGAGGTTATGAGACTTAAACACTGGCTCCCTGAACCCCGTACTTCCCAGGTGCATATTCCCCTGCTGTAGGAGGAGGGGCTGTCCACTGAGCACTGGTTCCTGCAGCAGCCTTCCATGCTGTGGGATCAGTCAGCAGCCTGTCAGCTTTCTGCCCCAAGTGGTGTAGATCCTGTGTCCACTATTTGTCAAATTGTAAGAGCACCAGCCTTACAGGTCCAGCACAAGCTCCATGCCTTGTTCCCAGGTGCAGGTACAGCTGAATGAGGAGGGCTCCTTGACACCAGGACTCCACCCTTAGGTAAGGGCAGTATGAGGAAGAGAAGCCAGCACACAGACCGGGCTGACCTCTGCTGTGGGAAGGCTTCTCCTTTAAACTGCAGTGGGTTGATCTCTACAGTAGTAAACAGCAGCCGTCCATGTTGGTGTTCTGTTGAGTTTAAACTACAGTGGGGTTGATCGGGTTGATCACAATAACAGCAGCCATTGATGGATGTATGGTGTTCTGTTGAGTTTTGATGGATGTGTGTAGTCACAGGGCCCTGGTCAGATCCATGTCTTCTGCAGTCACCATAAACTGCATTGTTAATAGTTCTTTCCCAGATGTCACTAAGTGACATTATGTGACATCTAGTCGTTGGTACCTGACTCTGTCTATGACAGAGGTGGCAGGAAGCACTAGCGCACGACCATCTCATTCAAGGGGTGATCAGGGTCTCCACTTTGGCCTGTGAATATTCTCGAATGTTTTGATTATGTGATGTTGCTAGGTGATGTGAAGCATATCAGTTTTACTTTTTTGTTGTTATTGTTTGTTTTGAGACAGGGTTTCTCTGTCACTGTAGAGCCTGTCCTGAAACTTGCTCGGTAGACCAGGCTGGCCTTGAACTCACAGAGATCTGTCTGCCTTTGCCTCCTGAGTGCTGGCAGTAAAGGCAGGCACCACCACCGCCCAGCCTCAGTTTTACTTTGTTAAGAACTGTTGAGTGTTTGACAGTCAGGCCTACAGAGAGAAACCCTGTCTCGAAAATCAATCAAACAAACAAAAACCCACTTCCTTGTGTTTTTCCAGCAGATCATGGGCATATAAAATTTTTTAAAAGGGTTTTTATAAATGTAGCTAATTCACGTATTTTCCCAAAAGTGAGCCTCAGTGGCACCATCCCCGACCTCTGATTCTTTGGGCCTGTACAGGTGACGATTTAAGTAGGTGAGATCATCTAAGGGTCAGGGTGGTCAGGTGTGGAAAGGCTTCATGGGCAGACTCCTGAGCTGTCCCTTGGAGTGCCCATCTGGACTCCCTTCGGTCATACTCAGCATCCATGTGGTAAAAAACTCAGAAATGAAGATGCTGCCCAGTAGGGCTGCAGCTCCCTATTTAAGAGAGAGAGCTGTGCATTCGTTCTTGCGGCCGCTGCTCTGGTACTCTCCCATACCAAGTGTTTTTGGTGTACTTAACCCTGGTCCAGTGCAACATGGCCACCTGCAGCCCTTTGCCTAGACTGCCCCCTACTGGAACTGAGAAACACTGTTCTAGACAGATCCTGGGAAATTTCCACACAGGCTGCTCTCTGAGCCTTCGCTCTCTGGAGCAAGTATTTATAGCCCCTTCTGCCAGTCACAACAGCCTCTCTCTTTGTAGCATGACGGAGCTGTGGTTCAGCTGATGGGGGCATTGTAGCTTGGGTTAACATTACATTGAAATGAAAAGCATGTTGATGGCCTTTGTCTAAGGCAGCCCTATGAGCACTGGACTTAGGAGGGCCAGAGAGCTTGAGACCACTCCCTGTTATGGCCTCTCTCCTAGTGCATGGTTGCTGCTATAGTGCTGGACAGAGGGGCCCAAGGCCAGGACCTCACATGTGCTGAACATGACTTTCCAAACCTGCATCCCTGCCTGCTGTCACATTTTTGTAAATTTTTATTTATTTTATTTATTAATTTTTAGATTATTTTTGCATGTTTTGTTTTTTGATAAGATGGGCTTTCTATTGTGTAGCTATGAGTTTTCTGAAACATCACAGATCTGCCTGCCTCTTTCTCTTGAGTACTGGGATTAAAGGTTTGCCTTTAATTAAAGGCTTGCCACCATGCCTGGCTAATGGGGAAATTCTGTCAACCAATCACATCTAGTTAAGGCATAGCTACCAGGGCCCAGGAAGAAAAACTGGGAGGACCTAGGTGCTCGCTCTCAGCGGCGCCCACCGGGCAGATAGGAAGTTGGACCTCCCTCTCTTGTAGCGTGAGTTTCCCCTTATAACCATTAAAATATGATTGTTATTCTTGAGCTGGCCTGGTTATTTAATGAACCAACCTAATTTGCAACACTTGGCTAGATTTATTGTTGTGTATGATTGTGCACACATAAATGCCTGGGAATTGTGGGTGATTGTTAGCTACCACATGGGTGCTAGGGCTCACACCCAGGTTCTTTGCAAGAGCAACAAGTACCCTTAACCACCAAGCCATCTTGCCAGCCTCTGATGTCACGTTTGATGGCTGTGGTGATGCTGCAGGATGAGGGAGGGCCAGCTTTCCTAGAGAACACCTGCAGGGGCACAATGAGAGCAGGCAGAGATGGGGAGTGCTGGGGGTTCTTTGTCCACTGCAGCTCTAGGAAAAGCCCACTTTGTACTCACTGCCCCCTCCCTTTGTTCATCTGCTCAGGATTATCTCCTTGTCTGTCCCCTTTTGCAGACAAAATGGGAGCATAAAGGAAAGGGCTGCTTCCTGGGAGGTTGGGGATACAACATTCCAGTCCTTCTGTCATGTAAGCAGCACAGCCCTGTGGGGATTTCCAAGAGCAGGTGACCTGTTTTGCAGGGCCTAGTGTGTGGTCAGTTCAGTGGCTAGTGTGTGACAAAGCTTGTGATCTTTGTCTTGCACAAGTGTAGTTGGCCAGTTTTAACTGCTTCTCCAAAATGGTGGAAGCAAATTAAAATTTGGCTTATAAAGTTTGATTTGTAGTTTCTGTATTTTGGCATCTTCAGTGGCTTTAAAAAAAAAAAAAAACTCAGTTTCCTTCTGCTCAGATGGGACTGAGAGTATCTTAAAGGTCAATGAGGCCACCCTTTATATCCTGGTTCTTAGGTGACAGTACCAGCCACACAGCCATGGAGCCTGATATTGTGTGTGGCAAGTCTTCCTCTGTCCTGGCAGCCAGCTCCCAAATCACGATAAGGATACTTATTAATTATGAAAGCTCAGTCAATAGCTTGGACTTGTTTCTAACTAGCTGTTACAACTTAACCCATTTCTGTTAATCTGCTTGCTGCCCTGAGGCTCGTTTACCTCATCCACATTCTGTCCATCTTGCTTTCCTGCTTCTGTGTCTGGCTGGCAGTTTCACCTTCTTCCCAGTGTTCTCTCTGCCCCCCCCAAATCCTGCCTAGCTATTGGCCATTTAGCTTTTTATTAGACCAATCACAGTGACATATCTTTACATGGTATAAAGGAACATTCCACATTTCCCCCTTTTTATCTAAATAAAAAGGAAAGTTTTTAATGCTAAGATAATAAAACTAAAAACAATAAGAACAATTATTAGGTAAGAATTACATTTACAATGTCCAGCCCATTTGTATTTGTTATATTTTGAGAAAATACTCCATTATTTATTCTATCTTTTTTTTATTCTATCTTGATGTGTCCAAAGCTCTGAATCTAATTTATCTTTTGTAATAACTAAGAAAAGCTGCAGTTATAACTACCTAGTCTTCAACTCCATCAAAAATCCCAGAAGAATATAATATTACCTGTGTAAACAGGAAGTGCAGAGCAAAAAATTCCAAAACTATAGAAATGACAGAAACAGCTGGCTGCCTGGACAGTCACCCAAGCTTCCTCTGTAAGGTTGGGGCATCCATCTATAGCCTACGGCCTAGAATATCTGACAGATTTTTTTTCTGTGAAGCAAGAATTTTGAAGGACTGATTTACTTTATTTTGGCAATGTTTGGCAGTCACTTTCTTTTGTGTCCTGCTTATCCAATTTGGACAGCATACTGTCAGCAGTTGAAGAAAGGGCCATTTCTTGCCCAGTGGCTTACTTTTGCCATGAAGAAAGCAAACTCCAGGGGGCTGGAGAGATGGCTCAGTGGTTAAGAGCATTGCCTGCTCTTCCAAAGGTCCTGAGTTCAATTCCCAGCAACCACATGGTGGCTCACAACCATCTGCAATAAGGTCTGGCGCCCTCTTCTGGCCTTTGGCATACACACAGATAGACTATTGTATAAATAATAAATAAATATTTTTTAAAAAAAAGCAAACTCCATATGGCATTCTTCAATGTCAATCATTTCTGAAGTAGATCAGTGCTGCCAGGAGCAGACATGTCTCACTGTCATAAACAACCTTATGTTACTAAAACATCTCAAATGCCATATTTTGTAGATCTGTGAAGTGTTTGAAGACCACCTGTCTATTTCAAAAATCAGTTTCACCTTGAAAACAAGTCTGATTGGTATAAATGATTGATTACTAACCTATATTTTTTAATTATCTTGATTGTAATAATAGCTTTTAAAGACTAGAAATTTAGATTCCATTGTTAAATGAGTTGCATAGGTATAATACCTTAAACAATAGCAGAGGGGGCTGGAGAGATGGCACAATGGTTAAGAGCACTGGCTACTCTTCCAGAGGTCCTGAGTTCAATTCCCAGCAACCACGTGGTGGCTCACAACCATCTGTAATGAGATCTGGCGCCCTCTTCTGGCCTGCAAGCATATGCAGGCAGAATGTTGTATACATAAATAAATCTTAAAAAAAAAAATAGTAGAAACATAAGTATGTTCTAACAAATAACCTTAAATCTGTATAATATACAAAAAAATCCATACCAATGTGAAATATTTGAGACTACTGATTGTTTAAAAGTAGACTCAACAATTCACCCTTTTATCCCACCATTTCTATACTGTATCCCCCTTTATCCCTTCAGAAAGAGATCCCTGAATCTAATCTTTGTTTAGCTTTCTCCCTGACCATGACCAGTAACAATTTATAACCAACCCCCCAAATGATGACAAATATCTATAAACCCACCAAATGACCAAAATCCACCCATCCCACCTCTTGGGAATGCTAGACTGCTTCCTGTTGTCTGGGGGCTCTGGCATCTTTGGGGGACCCTGAGAAAATTAGGATAATGGTCAAGTCCTGGCGAATAGTTTGTGAGGGTGGACCATCTCAGCCAGCAGCCTTGAAGCTGTTCTGGGGCAGAACTCTGAGGAAATTGCAGCAGAGGCACTCTGAGAGGCTAGATCACCTAGGCCACTCATCTTCATTGGTATCTGATCCCCTTGCTCTGAAAACACACAAACCTTTAAAGGTAACATAATATCTATATTAACATAAGACGGACTATGTGCTGTACATAATCTAGCCGAAGATGAGTGTTTATTTCATGTTTGAGCAAGTAAAATATATGTCACGTTCTTGTAATTTTTTTAGGTTTATTTCTTTTTGTTTGTAACCAGAATTTTCAGAGGGTCTTCTCTGATCAAATCTGATCTCATTAACCTGGAATGAGTCCACAGCCTTTGATTTTCTGTGGAAACAAAAGCACAACCTCTTCCCCAGTGTAACATATATATTTTTTGACTTTCATTTTGAAGTTAAGACTTTTTTTTTTTGTACTTTTGAGACAGGGTTTCTCTCTGTAACAGCCCTAGCTATCCTGGACCTAGCTCTTGTGTAGACCATGCTGGCCTCGAACTCACAGAGATCCAACTACCCCTGCCTTCCTAGTGCTGGGATGAAAGGCATGCACCACCACCACCCATCTAAGATACTGTTAAAATATATAGGGTGGTTTAATTTAGCAGTCCCTTCTACAACCCAGTGTCTCTCATCAGCTGTTATCTGTTCATTATCATTTTAAAATTTCAAAATTAACAAAGTACCATATAAGGTCAAACTCCTATTTTATAATATTTCCCATCCTTACATGGATTATTCTTTTTATTACTTTACTTTTCTCTTAAAGGCTACTTTATTTTTTAATTATTTTTTATGATTGTCTATACCCTGCTTTTTTTTTTTTCTCCCTTTAAGCCTACACACATTGTTAAACACACTATAACCTGTTTAGAGGTTTTTCTCTTTGAATCTGCTTTACTGCGTATCTGTAATTTTTCTGTCTACATGAGCAAAACCTTAAGCCACTGCACAGCTTAGCTCATGGTGCACTAGTGATTCAAGCCCAGGGGCAGTGACTGAGAGATGCATCTCAGTACTGCGGCCTGCATGAGAGACTGTGGGACTAAGACGTCACGTTTGGCTCTGTTTTTGTGTGTTTGCAGCCTTTTTAAAAAGCTTTCTCAGGTCTTATTTTTTTTTAATTATTTGTTTATTTATTTATTATGTATACAATGTTCTGTCTGTGTATGCCTGCAGGCCAGAAGAGGGCGCCAGACCTCGTTACAGATGGTTGTGAGCCACCATGTGGTTGCTGGGAGTTGAACTCAGGACCTTTGGAAGAACAGGCAATGCTCTTAACCGCTGAGCCATCTCTCTAGCCCCCGCTTTCTCAGGTCTTATGTGGAAATATGTTCTCCACGTTGGGTGCCATATGTTGCAAGTCTTTCTCTGTCCTGGCAGCCAGCTCCCAAATCACAACAAGGATACTTCTTATTAATTATGAAATCTCATTCGATAACTTAGGCTTGTTTCTAACTAGCTCTTACAACTTAACCCATTTCTGTTAATCTGTGTGCTGCCCCAGGCTCGTTTACCTCATCCACATTCTGTCCATCTTGCTTTCCTGCTTCCTCCATGTCTGTCTCTTGACTTCTGTCTTCTTCCCAGCATCTTCTCTGCCCTGGAAATCCTGTCTAGCTATTAGCTTTTTATTAAACCAGTCACAGTGACACATCTTCACACAGTGTAAAGGAATATTCCACAACTGATGTTCAGTTCGTATCTCTCACTCATCCCTGACTGTTGTGGGAGCAGGGACTGCACCACTGCGGGAACTACAGCGTGGAGATGGGGAGCCACTTGGCCAATGTCACCAGCTGGCAGAGAGAGGCAAGGCCCTAGCCATTTCTCTGTAGCTTCTGAAAGGCCTCAGGATTATGTGTCTGCAGCCCCCCTTCTCTCTCTGCCTCTGTCTCCTCCTCATTTTGAGTTTCATGTAGCCCAGGCTGCCCTCAAACTTGCTATTTAGCCAATGATGACCTTGAATTTCTGACCTGCTGCCTACTTCCCAGTTGGTGAGATTGCCGGTGTGTGCCACCACATCTGGTTATGTACCACTAGGGATGGGACCCAAGACTTCTTGCATGCTAGGCAGACAGTCTACCAACTGAAACTGCATCCCAGTTTCTGTGGTCTTTTCTTTCCTTTTTGTGCACCTGGGTGCTTTGCCTGAGTGTGTGTCTTTGTACTGCTTGCAGAGCTGGTGCTCATGGAAGCCAGAAGAGGGTGTAGTGTCCTCTGGAACTGGAGTCACACATAGTTGTAAGCTGCCCTGTATGTGTTGGAAACCAAATGTGGATCCTGTGGAAGAATAGCCACTGCTTTTTACCTCTGAGTCATCTTTCCAGACCCTCCATTTTCTTAAAATCCTATTATTTCGGGTTCTGGGATCCAGGGAAGAGTCCCTGTGCTGTGTGTCATGTCTTCCCTCTGCCCTCTCTCCAGGCATCATGGCTATCCTGTTCTCTGGCATCGTGATGTCACATTACACACACCACAACCTCTCCCCAGTCACCCAGATCCTCATGCAGCAGACCCTCCGGACAGTGGCCTTCCTATGTGGTGAGTCCCACCTCTGAGTGTCCACACAAACTGGGATTCCTGCCCTGGTGGGGTGTAAGCTAGGATTTCTCCTTGGCAGTAGGGCCCAGAATCCTTCGAAGCCCAAGCAACTACCATGCTCCTAACTCCTGGGTTGGCTCCTGTGGTTTTGTGATTCCATAGAAAATGTATAATACTTAAGAAATGGACGTTTGGCCGGGCGATGGTGGCGCACACCTTTAATGCCAGCACTCAGGAGGCAGAGACAGGTGGATCTCTGTGAGTTCGAGACCAGCCTGGTCTACAGAACGAGTTCCAGGACAGGCTCCAAAGCCACAGAGAAACCCTGTCTCGAAAAACCAAAAAAAAAAAAAAATATATATATATATAAATGGACGTTTGGTGCCTGCAGTCTATGGCCAAAAATGGAACTGCTGCTGAACATTCCAGATGTTAATGTGGAGATCTCCACAGATGTTCCTTAGAGATGATGCTGAGGGTGGTCAAATGCCCCTACCCTTGAGTGGTGGGGTCTTAGGCTTTCCATCTAGGGGCACTGTGAGCTTCTAAATGAGGGCATCCTAGCCCTGGGGGAAATTCCAGAGCCGTGTTCCCCTGGGATGAATATGAGGCCTGTCAAGCAGTGACAGTTGGAGCTTCTTCCCCCCCATGTACCACATACCCACTCCTGTTCATACATGGAGTAAAGATGCTATCTTTAACCATCCCTCTAAACTGCTCAGGCGTGCATATGCACTGGGGCTAGACCTCAGCTGCAATTTTAGCATTCCCTGGTGTTGAAGGGCCTTGTTTCACTTTGGAGCCGGGGATGGCAGGGTTGTCTGCAAGGTAGGGAAGCTGGGTAAGGAGAGGCCAGATAGCCCATTGCCAAGGTACAAGCTAGGAGACAGTCCTCTAGTGCCCCAGTGGCTGTTTGATCCACAGCTCTCCCCCGTCCCCCCCCCCGAGACAGGGTTTCCTTGTGACTTTGGACCCTGTCCTGGAACTAGCTCTTGTAGACCAGGCTGGCCTTGAACTCACAGAGCTCCATCCGCCTCTGCCTCCCGACTGCTGGGATTAAAGGCATGCATCACCACCACCCAGCTGATCTGCAGCTCTTATCAGAAAACCTTGGCCAAAGGCTCTGACCTGGTCCTCACAGGGTGGAGCAGAGAACAGCACACCTCTTGGCTTCTGTTTTGTGCCCCTGACCAGCTCTAGTTAGTACTCAGTTCTGGGACTGTACATGCATACCATCTCCTCTGAAACTCCATCACAGCATCCATGGGAATTCACCAGGCGTGTGCTTTCTCCTGACCTGCTCTCCGTGAGGAGGTTAGTCAGCACACTAGGCTGCCTTCATGTAGCTTGCATTGCCAGAAGCAGCTTATGTGGCCACTCTGAAAGGATGGCTTAAGTCCACCACACTTCCCACTGCTAGGGAGAAGTGGAGTAGGCCTGAATGCACTGGCTTGAAGGATCGCACATTATTATATAAGGTGTCTCAGGGAGGGGAGGGACAAGCACCCTGCTAGTGCTGTGTTGAAGAATACACAAGCCACTGCAAACGCCACTGAAGTGACTTAAATAGCCTCACCAGCTGATGTGCACATTTTAAAATGCAATCCCTGTCTCCTTAGGTGTTGGGCTCTTCTTTTGGGCCCTGTAGTTTAATCAGGAGCCTGGAAATTTATGAGGTGCTCTTTTTAGCACACACAAGTGTTTGCACCAAGTGTGAATAATCCTGCAAATGGGTCCTTCCCACAAGCTAACCCTGTGGGTTTGCTGCCTCTTGAACCTCCAGCCAACATCAGTACATTCTGTCCACCAGTGGGTGCTGTCGGCACGATGAACTGGGAGGGAGTTAACTAAAGCCCCCTTTCTCACTTGTCATATGCACCTACATTCAAATGCTTGGAATTCCTGCCACTTTGAGCCATGTAGGACCCTGACTGATTCAGTGTTCAGCAGATACATGGGTGGGAGCTTGTTTATTTGCATACAGTATCTGACAGCTTACTCATTATGTTGGGAAATTGTCAATAGCAGAGACACATTGCCTATGTGACAGTAAAGGGGGAAGCTGGTCATGGTGGTTCGCACCTGCAATCCCAGCACTCAGATTGCATCTAGGCCAGCCTGGGCCAGATAACAAGACCTCATCTCAACCCATCTACCCCCATCTAGGCCAGCCTAGGCCAAATAGCGGGACCTCATCTCATTCCATCTACCCCGCTCCCCCAAAAAAATACTAAGTACAAAGTAAAAAATAAATAAATAAATAAATAAATAAATAAAAATAAAAAAAAATAAAAAAAAAAAAGTCTAACCACAGTATCTAGTGCAAGATATTTCCAGAAAATAAGATGGCTGTTGGTGTGGCTTTGGGAATGCCTGCTTAAGTTACTACTGGATTTTAAGAAAGGAACTGGGGTGAATAATCCATTCTTTGATTTCTTTCAGAAACATGTGTGTTTGCATTTCTTGGCCTGTCCATTTTTAGTTTCCCTCACAAGTTTGAAATTTCCTTTGTCATTTGGTGCATAGTAAGTATTTTCTTGTTTTTATTGAATGTTTATTGTTAGAATATCAACTACATGGTCTGGAACCATCTATATAACTGTGACCAGTTCAGAGCCGACAACTACGAGACATGGTTCTATTGAAAATGTCTTTTCTTTAAAAAATCCCAGACATAAGCATCTGGACATTTTACATTTTCAGTGTCCTTGAATGGTGTGGTCGCCTTCAAACAGTACAGTCTTAGCCAGAGCATGTCAGTGGGTGCCCATATCCCCAGCACTTGGGAAATGGAGGCAGGAGGATTAAGAGTTTAAGTCCAGCTGGGTGTGATGGTGCACGCCCTTAATCCCAACACTTGGGAAGCAGAAGCAGGCAGATCTCTGTGAGTGTAAGGACACCCTCGTCTGTGTAGCAAGTTCCAGACTACATACACAATGAGACCCTGTTTCAAGAAAAGACAATAAAAAAGTTTTTTAATGATTTATTTATTTTTATTTTTTGTACACTGATGTTCTCTCCAGGCCCCCAGGAAGAAGTCTTAAGGGCAGTTTTAACTACATGGCACGTTCAAGAACAGCCTAGGCTCACAGGCAGAACCTGCCTCAAAGGAAAGGAGAATTGTGTTCAACTGCACGAGACCCCAGTTTTCTTGGGTCCTTTTGACTCTTTCCCGTTCCCATGTGACCTTCATTTAGAGTGGCTGCCTGCCTATGTCAGTCTGTCCTGTGAGCACAGGTCTGGGGGAAAGCCTTGGGAAGGCCTTTCACAGAAACTCTGACAGTTTCTGAGTTGCTGGGATCTAACCCAGGGCCTTGTGCAGAAGCAGATGCTTGGAGCACAGCCCTTACCCCAGCTCCTTGGAGCTGTGGTTGGTTAAAGTAGGAGGCTTTACCCCACAATAGGCCCAGGACTTGAGCCACCTTTGTGCTCCCAGGTAGGCCTCACTCAGCCTGTCCTCCTTGCTCTGAGGAGCCAGACCCCAGAGCAAAGGCAGAAGTACCTGTGTCCCCTTCCCCACAGTGCCACAGTGGGGAGGATTAGCATAAGCCCACCCCATTATGGATTCCTTTTTGTCTCTAGGCCCCACTGGGAGCCTGGTGGTGCTGCCTTTGTTCTGAGGCTGTGTGACTAAAACCTAGGATGATGCTTCTAGCCTCTTCTAGCATCTGAGACAAAAGGTCGGACTGAAAAGCTCCACCCAGGCTGAGCCAGGGCAGCAGCACACGTGTGAGGCTCTGACTGTCAGAGCCTCTCTAGCTGAAGACAGGACTACCTTAGATGGGTGTGTTACACTGATGTTGGGGTCTCTCTAGCTGAAGGCAGGACTACCTTAGACGGGTGTGTTACACTGATGTTGGGGTCTCTCTAGCTGAAGGCAGGACTACCTTAGACGGGTGTGTTACACTGATGTTGGGGTCTCTCTAGCTGAAGACAGGACTACCTTAGACGGGTGTGTTACACTGATGTTGGGGTCTCTCTAGCTGAAGACAGGACTACCTTAGACGGGTGTGTTACACTGATGTTGGGGTCTCTCTAGCTGAAGGCAGGACTACCTTAGACGGGTGTGTTACACTGATGTTGTCCTGAAGGTGCAGTGGATTCCGCCTGCATTGAGCACATTGATACATTGATATCAACAGGTATTGGTACTGTTTGGCAGAGCTGTCAACATCTTCCCTCTGTCCTACCTGCTGAACTTCTTCCGAGATCACAAAATTACCCCCAAGATGATGTTCATCATGTGGTTCAGTGGTGAGTGGCAGCCAGGGTGGGCGGGCCTAAACCTGGGCTGCATACATGGGCCCCTGGCAAGCCAGGCTCCAACAGGTGTTACCAGATGGCACCTTGTCACAGCACCATGAAGTGGTTGGCCCTTTTCCAACTCTGGAATGAGGATGCTCAGGTTCCAGGAGGGCAAAGATGATGCCTAACATCCAGGAACCCTTGGAGGCAAAGCAAGAACCTGTCCAGCTCCATGCACAGCCTTGGCAGGCCTGTGTAGCATGGTGTGTGGGGTGGGGTGGTGCTGAGCATGGGGATTCAACCATGGTCTCCTGATGCTATCCAGTTACTACTTCTGCTGCTGCAAGGCCCATAGCTGAATCTTGAGCCTTGCAGCTTCCTGTCAATCACACCTCTCTACTTTCTCAAGACTAAAGTGACTTCATCAATATTCAGCTCTAAAGCACCAGTCCCTTAGGAACTTTAACTCTCTGGACTCTTCCTATTTAAGTCATTAGTCAGGTGTGGAGGCTCGGGCCATGATCCCAGCAGGGACAGGCAGATCTCTGAGTTCCAGGCCAGCCAGGGCTACAGAGTGAGACCATCTCAAAAAATAAAACAAGTAAATATAACTGAATATTTCCATCTGGGTTAAAGTGCTTCATAATGTTCACTACAATTTGCCTCATAATTCTTTTTCTTCAGCCGGGCAGTGGTGGCGCACGCCTTTAATCCCAGCACTTGGGAATTGGGAGGCAGAGGCAGGAGCTAGTGCCAGGACAGGCTCCAAAACCACAGAGAAACCCTGTCTCGAAAAACCAAAAAAAAAAAAAAAAAAACATTCCATTAAAGAATTCTTTTAAAAAGATATTGAACTAACTGACCAACAAACAAAAGTCTTAGTCCAAATTACTATAATGCCAGCTACTTGGAAGAACAGGGCAGATGGATTTCTAGCTTGAATCCAACCTGAACCCCTGTCTCACATAAACATGTAGAGGTCTAGCTGACCCGAAACTTGCAATGGAGTCTAGGTTTGAACTTGCAGCCATTCTCCTTGCCTCTGCCTTCCAAGTGCTGGAATTATCATTTAAACAGTTAATGTCTCCTCCCAGTCAAAACCAAGGCTACTCTCCCAGCCCCAGCTCCTCACTCTGTCCTCATTTTCTCCACCTCTGTTCCCGTCTGCTGTGCTGGCCTTGGCCCTAAGCAGCTCTCCAGTGGCTTCTGCAGAATCAACCCATGACCTAGTGTATCTGCTGGGCTTCAGGCTCCCTCTTCCCACTACTGTTGCCAGTATACCTAAGACACCTCCCCAGCCTCCCACTCAGCCCTTCCCACACCGACCCCAGACAGGGGCATCCTGGGTCCTGGCCCCACCTCTTTCTGAACCCGTGTACTGACAGTATTGGACTTCCTGATCTGGCCTTTCCATCTGTCCAGCTCTCCAAACCAGCCCTTCCTTTGGAACCCAGTTCCTACTCCTTTCTACTTCTGGGTGTCATGGGCCACAGCGAGTTCCTTGAGCCAGAGCCCACTGCCTGCCTGCTGCTTGGCTTGCCCTCCCTTCCTTGGGAAGCAGCACGGTGGATTGGTATATATCGCTCCCTTCCTAGCCCTGCTAGGTATATGTGCACACTGAGCCTGTCACGTGTCAGGTCCCCTCATCCTGTGACCCTTGTAGGTTTGGAGAAGAGCTCGCCCTGCTTCTATCTCTGAATCCTGGCCTCCTGGCCATCTCAGGTCTGGACTCCTGCAGCAGCCAAGCTTCTCAGAGCCCCCGCCCTCCCCCCACCCCCACCCCCTTACATGTCTGAGCTGCCCCACTGTGGTCTCTTTTCCCAGTGACTCTTCTGAATTTAGTGTTGTGTTTACTGACCTAGCTGCTCTGGGAGCTTCTGGAGGCTCAGGAGCCTCTGCTCTGTGTGTATGGTAGAGAGCAACTGGCTCCACCCTAGTCCTGTCATCATTGCCAGTAAGCTCTACCGGTAGGAGAGTCACTAGGCAAATCATACTCTCACTGCTGCCTGGGTCTGCTGCACTTTACTCTAGGCTGGTCCCCGCCTGGGCGCTGTGGAGAATGGCAGCACCTGCTAGGCAGGTTTCTGTGACAGACAGCCCTGTCTGTGCACAGAACACCTAGTTGGGGGTCTGGGGCACCCAGGTAGGACTCAGCTACCATCTCTGTCATATGACAGATCTGATGAGTCCCCAAGTACACGTGCTACACAGTGCCATGGCTGTGGTCACCTTGCCTGGAACCAGCCCATGCAGAACACACAAGGGACTTGAACCTGTCTGCCCTGCTACCTCACACCCTAGGCCATTTCTGCAGGTCCTGCTGTTAGTGGTGCTAAGCTAGAGCCACTTTCTTCTCTCTCCTCTCCCTGCTTCTGGCTTGGCCCTGAATCTCCATTTACCGTTCCAGGCCTTCGAGGGGCCATCCCCTATGCCCTGAGCTTGCATCTGGGCCTGGAGCCCATGGAGAAGCGGCAGCTCATCGGCACCACCACCATTGTCATTGTGCTCTTCACCATCTTGCTCCTGGGAGGCAGCACCATGCCTCTCATCCGCCTTGTGGACATTGAGGATGCCCGGGCACGCCGCAGGAACAAGAAGGACGTCAACCTCAGCAAGACTGAGAAGATGGTTAGTGCGGCTGTGGGCCCTGTGGCCTGTGCCAGGGAGAGCAGGTCAGGCTCTTGCACATGCATTTGCTTCCCCCAGGGTCAGCAGTGCAGGCCTGAGAACAGGTGCGGCAACATGACTCTCTGGGGTAGGGTGTGTGCCAGCCTTGTGACCTACTGATGCCATCTGTAGCGCAGGACATTTGAAGTAGAGCCTGGTCCTATGCCAGAGTCCTGGGAGAGTGCCTCAGCCTCCAGGAGCTGAGCCAGAAGCCCAGGTCAGGGACCAGATGGTTTCAAAATTAGGTATTCTTCAGTATGCATTTATACCTCTCGATAGGGACCGAGAGGATGATGGCTTTAGCTCAGGGGTCAGCTCAAGGTGGCATCCTCAAGGACACAGGGGTCATGGTTTAGGGGTAGAGGGGTTCAGGGCCCAGACATTGGAAACTGAGGCTTCTGTGCCCCCTTGCACATCTCTGCTTCCTGTGAGTCACCTCCTGCTGCTTACTCTCAGGCTGGGACCACCTTGCATTGGCTCCCTGCCCTTCCTTCCTCATGGCAGCAACCCTGACTCCTGACCCACCCTTCCACCCATCCTCTGCATTCTGAGGTGCATTTCCTTTTAGTCTCCCTCTTTGAGGAAGATGTCAGTAACTTGGGTCAGTCATCAAAGTGCTATCTGGAATGGGAGAGTCAGGGCCATTGGTCCAGGGCCTTTCCTCTAGGTAGCCAGCCTTGGACTCTGCAGGTCCTTCTCATGCTCAGAGCCCTTTCTTCCCATCTTCTGGCTAACCAGTTTACTTGGGGTTGTGTTGTGATTTTTACTTTTTTATTCTTGTTGTTTTTGTTTCCTTATTTTCAACTTTTTAAAAGTCTGTATCTGTCTGTGTATATGTAAGCTGTGTGTGTGCTCACCTGTGCGGTGCTCACCTATGCGCGCACGTGTACATGTACTCATGCCCATGAATGCAATAAGAAAGCATTAGATCCTCCAGAACTGGAGCTACAAGCAATGATGAGCTTAACATGGGTACTGGGAACTGAACTGCAGTCCTCTGGAAAAGCAGCAAGCATTCAGAATGACTGAGCCATCTTTCCAGCCCATTTTTGTGTTTTGATATGGGCTCACTGTAGATTAAGCTGGGCTTGACTGTGTTGTGGCTACAGCCGCCTTGCAATGTTTTTGCCTCTACCTCCCAAGTACTGGGAATTACAGATGGGATCCTTGTGTAGGCTGACATTTTTGCCAAGGCTACAGTCCCTCTTGAACAACCATAACAGTGTTGTGGCTAAGGCACTTGGACTCTACAGGAAGCAGGGACTTTCATAGTCCCCAGCCTGCAGGTGAGAAGGACACCGAGGCATGAAAATGGTTCCAGTCAGAGCCTGCACTCACCGACAGATGTTCTAACTAGGTTTTGAGAGGAGAGTCGCCAAACCAGCAACAGTATAGGAAGTTAGTAAGTGTGCAGATGTGGTAGCCTTCTCCCTAACCTGCTGTCGCAGGAATTACAGCTGGGGCTGAAATGTGTAGCATCTTCAGGGCCCTCAGACCCCAGAGATTGACCTTGCACTCCTTCACTGTCCTCTGCACTGTAGGCCCAGGCACGCAGGGCTTTACAACTTTGGAGACTCCTATGCTCCAAACTTGTCATTGGACCTCCCTGCAGAGAGTAAGCTTTGCGAGCCCTTTGGTGATCACCTATACTAGGGTAGCATGTGTTAGGGGTGGCATTCTGGAAGGAAGGCAGAGTGGGGGCTCCCAGGGAAGTGCCTGCTCACACTGCCAGCTCTGTCACACAGGGCAATGCCATTGAGTCAGAGCACCTGTCTGAGCTCACTGAGGAGGAATATGAAGCCCACTACATCAGACAGCAGGACCTCAAAGGCTTCATGTGGCTGGACGCCAAGTACCTGAACCCCTTCTTCACACGGCGGCTGACACAGGAGGTGGGCATATCAGGAATCCCTTGCCTCCCATCAGGCCTGCAGTGGCCAGGGGTGGGGAGGGAAGTCACTGCTGGAGGCTAGTAAGCTGCCTAGCTCTGACCCTGCTGCCTTTCCTTCGCTGCACGCCTTGGAAGATGGCTAACAACAGTTTAGGTTTCCCTGCTGCCCTCAGGGACATGAATCAGCTTCTGATGCTGAGCCAAGAAGTCTTAGATCAGCCTGTGACCCTGGCCCTCCAGGTACTGACTGCAGCTGCCTCCTCCAGGAATGGCAGGCTCTCCTGGCTGCTCTCCCTCTCTCCACAGCAGCCCCTCACACCCCCAAGACCATGTCCTCCAACAGCTAAGCAGCAAAGCATGTTATCTCATTTGACAGCATGGAAAAGTGAGGCCCAGGGAAAGCTCACATGCACAGGGCAACATGTTCCAAAGCTGGCAGACGAGGCTTACCTAATTCCTAAGGCTGAGTTCCTAAAATGCCATTTCCCCTCCATCCCTCAGTTCTCAGCAGGCCCTCCTGTTACCTCCAACCCATAGCTTCACAGCAGCCTCTTGTTTCCTGACCTTGTCACTGACGCTTACCTGTCTTGCTCCAGGACCTCCACCATGGGCGCATCCAGATGAAAAGCCTCACCAACAAGTGGTATGAGGAGGTCCGCCAGGGCCCATCGGGCTCTGAGGATGATGAGCAGGAGTTGTTCTGAGCCCACGCTGCTCTAGGCCGAGAAGATGATGCCTCATGCAGCCTCCTCAGAACACAGGATGGTAGGTTGAGGGCTAGTCTTAGCTAGGAAGCCTCAGGCCCTTGGAGAGTGCTGACTTTGGGAATGTGACTGGCCTCCATGGCTCACGAGCCAGACCTGCCCCGGTGTTGTTTCTGGGCCTGCAGAGCAGAGGAGGGCAGCGGCCAGCCTCCTTCCTGCTTCTGTGCCAGGGCCAGAGAAAACTTGGGAGGCTGGCTTGCTCAGCTCACACCGTGCCAGGGCCACACCTTCCTCACACCTCTGGAGCAGCTGTTGGCAGGCACATCTGCTGTTTGTCTCTGCATTGTCAAGGTGCCTTGGTGGTGGTGGTGGCGGCGGCGGCGGCAGCAGTCTCAGGCCTGGTGCCAAGGCTGAGAGACTTTAAAAGCCCCACAGTCCCTGTCCTGTGTCCCCAAAAAGAAAGGCTGAAGGACCTTTTTCTTGCCATGGAACTGGCACCTCTCAGGCCTGCCTTTGGGCAGACAGCTGCAGCCCTCTTATGGGCATACTGCAAATGTTTACACTGGTGCCTGGTAGGGATCAGCCTGCAGGCTTCTAGGAAAGGTGTTGTTGGCCTATCCCCCGGGTTTGGATGGACTATTCTCCAAAGAGACAAAGGGGGTCTTTTGACCCTGGAAGCACAGAATCCTTGGGGGCACCTTTCCCAAATGTTGGAGCTTCTTCTATATCCTCTCTCCTCTTCACCACTGCCTCCTCCCTCACCTTGTCCTCTGCCCTCCGTGCCAGGACCCCAGATATCCAAGACACTGGGGCAGGGGCCAGAGTACAACCGCTGAGGCCAGGGCTCCCTACTCCAGCCAATTGCCTCTTGGGATGCCAGTGACTTTGGGTCACACAAACACACTCCCATGCATGTGTCAGTGTAAGGCGTGCTGGATCACACCACAGGCAATGGTTACTGCCTGATATCCTCCCCTTCCATGGCCCTTCAGCAACTACTCATGTGGCCATAGTACTTCCTTGCACCCCAGGTGGCTTAGTTGTTGTGTATGGCCTTGTCCTCACAATGGGGACACAGTGGGCCTGAGTGGGCTAGTTGCAGGTGTTTCCCACCTCAGGTGCTATGGTTCTGCTGTTAAAAGACAGTTCTCCACCTCACTTGCTGCAGAAGGTAGCAGAGTTGGAAGCATGTAGTTTGTTTCTGTACATAAGGTCACTTATCCTTGGCATAGCCAAGATACGGTCCTCTTGTCTCTCACTTTAACCCTGGAGCTGGAGCCACCTGTGACCTTGTGTAATTTGGGGTGGGACTGAGGTCAGGCTGGATTCTTCTCTTTCCAGAACTCAGGCTCAGTCTCTAAGATGGAAGTTGCTTTCCAAGCTCTCAGTGCTTTCCTTGAGCAGTGAGGCACCGGGGTGTCACTTACTCAGCCCTTGTCACCAGGTCTCTGACACGGCACTCTTGGCCAAGACATGAAGTGATCTTCTGGGAACTTGGTGGGAGGACTGTTGCACCAGCCCTGAACACCAGCAGGCACCTCTGCCCCTTCCTGGGGAGTGTGGGCTGAAGTTCCTGGTGGCGCATCCCTGCAGTGTGTATGAGCCAATTCTTGGGATCAGTGACCTGCTTTCTGCAGTGTTAAGGTCACAGTGTTCCTCTGAACAGCCTCCAGCACTTTGGGGTGAAACCTGACAGGCTGACGGCCTGATGTGCAGATTCCTTTCTGTGCAGTAGAATGCCAAGACTGAGCAGAGAAGCCTTCTTAAAACCCACCCTAAGGACTACTAGGTCTACATGTCCATGGTAGGTTCTGAGCTGGGTGGCTGCTGCCCAGACCCCTCCCCCTTAGCTGTGGCGGTACATATGGTAGAGGTCAGCTGTTCCTGGCTCCCATGTGAGGAGGAATTCAGTAGCTGTCTGCCATCCGTGAGGTTTCTAAGATGCCACATGGAGACAGAAGCCCTTCCCATTCTCTCAGAAATAGCAGCTTGATTTCTCTGCTGGCTGGTGCCCAGGAAACCAGGTCCAAGCGGTGGCAGTGGCAAGTCACTGGGTTCTCTCAGGGTCCCAGAGCCAGGCTGTGTTACCTAAAACTGAATGGTAGGAGGGAGGGAGGGCCTTGTAGTGCCCCTGCTTCTCCACCTAGCCCTCCCACCTGCCCACCCAGTTTCAGACGAGGGAGGGGCTATGGCCTCACCAAGGCACGATCATGTGCAGTCATGGTGGGACAGGCCACTGTTGGTAGCTGTAGCCCTGATCTCCAGCCATGGTACTGGGTGGGGACTGGTGGAGTCCCCTACTTTACCAGAGAGGCTAAAGGCTCTCTTCACAAGCCTGGGTTCCTTTCTTCTCTGACAGTGGAAGATTTTGGAAGAGCAACGTTTCTGTTGTTTGGGGAGGCAGGTGGGAGCCATGTGTGTGAAGTCCCTGGGACCTGAGGGACCCTTTGCTGCTTTCTGGAAGGGGTCTGGGCCTGAGCAGTGCGAATTGTATCACTCTGCTGGAGTCCCCCTCGCCTGCCTGCCTCCCTCCCCTCACCATGTCCCTGAATAAAAGGCTGTGGAACCAGAGCTGCTCAGTTGTGTCAGTGACTTTGCAAAAGCTGGGTTTGCACACTTCTGGATGTGGCTTTGGGTCCCCACAGCTCTCCAGGACAGCATTAGGCATGTTCCAAGAAGTGCAATGTTTAAGAGTACATCTCTGGTCCTCAATGAGCCACATGCGAGGCAGAATGCTATTAACCATGGCTTCCTCCCAGAGCTCCAGGCCTCTCAGTGCCTGCTGCTGCTTGGTTGCCCGTTGATTTTACAGCTGTCTACCTGCAGAAAAATGGAAAACTTCTGAATTAAATCCACATGACTGAGGAGCCAGAGCCTCTCTGATCCTCAGCTCATGAAGGGAGGCCTTATGTAAGGTCCTGTGCATGCACACACAGGGCAAAAACCAATTTCCTGGTTTCTAGCTCTGAGATTTCCCCCACCCCCAACAGCAGCTGAGAGACTGAAGGGGCACCCATATCTACCTGGCACCAGCTGCAGGCTGACGATGTACCAAGGGTGCAGGACACGAGGGCCCCTCTGTAGCCTGGGCCCTGTCAGGGAAAGCTGCCCTAGTGTGCCATCTCCCAGCGCAGTAACTTAATTAGCTTAAGTCAGGGAACACACAGGTGAGCAACAGACCAAAGTCTCAGGGTGCCCTGGCCTTGAAGATGACGAGTTTCTCTGAGTAGTACCAGCCTGGAGGAGAGGGCTCAGTCCCACTGAAAGATAACCTGGGCAACTCCAGAGAAAGCCCTCAAGGTAGAGGGGAGAAACAGGAAGAAATAACTTGCTCTGAGACCAGAAGCAGTGGAGAAAAGGGTCCCAGAGCCTCCAAACCATCCCATGAAGGAACTTAGTCTGAGGAAGAGTATGCACACTTAGTGCACGCTAAAAACATCCTGTATTGGGTGTGGTGGTGCATGCCTTCGATCCCAGCACTTGGGAGACAGAGGCAGAAATCTGAGTTGGAAGCCAGCTTGGCCTACATAGCAAGTTCCAGGCCAACCAGGGCTACACACTGTGCTGCCAGACATACTGGTGTATAACCATAATCAACACTAAAGAGGCTGAGACAGAAAGATGGCCTCAATTTTGAGCCATCCTTGATTAGACAAAATTAGTCCAAAAAAAGGCAAAGCAGAAAAGACACACATACTACAAACTACACTTGAGTTCTCCGTGGTGTCTCTGGGCCTCTGGCTTTGATGGGTCTCTGAAAAGCTAGGCCCAGTCCCAGGCCAGCACTCCTGTCAGTCCCTTTGTTGAGGAAGGCCTCAGACCCAGTGTAGCAAGAGAGAGCAGCACTCATGGTTCCTCCCCTTCTATGCAGGTGTAAAACTTGGACTTATGGCAGCCATTCTGAAGCCCAGAAGGGAGGTTTCGTGAGGATGGCAGAGCATTTTTTTTTGGTTTGTGTTTTGAGACAGAATTTCTCTGTGTATTCCTATCTGTCCTCAAATTCAGAGATCCACCTGTCTCCTGAGTGCTGGGCTTAAAGGCATGTGCCACTATGAGCTGGAATTACAGGTAGTGGTGAGCCACGAAAGAGTGGCAAGCAGTCTCCACCAAGACACCTCTAGTCCCACATCTGGCATTCTAATGTGCGTTTGGGGAACAAATCGGGTTTTTATAATCGAGGCAAACATTTAACCAAATGAGCCATCTCCCCAGAACAGTTTGTTTCACATGCAGCTACGGTATGGTGATAGGTATTTAAAATTCAAGCATTTGGGAGGCTGAGGCAGGAGGATTGCTTCAAGTTTGAGACCAGCCTGGGCTCCATAAACACCAGCTAACAATGATTAGAGAGACATTCTTGCAAAAATCAGAAAATGTTTATGTGGTTTGTGTGTTCCTTCAGTTCAGCGTGGTTTTTCACGTCTAGATTCACACCACCACAGGGAGTCCTTTTCTAGAAGAGACAGCAATGATCCAGTTGCTAACAGAACTGGAGTGCCCACGTTAGCATTGAGTGAAATTACAGCTAAGTAGGGAATAGTGGCCTCAATGGCCTCACCATGCCTCCTGCTGAAGCAGTCTGTCTGTCTCTCTGAACACTGGCTGTTCTCACAGAGGACTGGGCTCCAGTCCCAGCAGATCTGGCTCTCAGCCAGCTACCTTAACTCCAGTTCCAAGGGATTCCATGCCCTCTTCTGGCCTCAGTGGGCACTGCATGCATATAATACACAAACATACAGACAGACAAAAATACCCAAACATAAAAAAAAAAAAAGCAAATATTTGGGGCGGGGGGGGGGGTAGGTGGCTGTAGAGATGGCTCAGGTTATTAAGTCCTGAGTTCAATTCTCAGCAACCAAATGGCTCACAACCGTCTACAATGAGATCTGGTGCGCTCTTCCAGCATGTAGGCAGAACACTATACCAGAAAAAAATAAGATTTTAAGCCAGGCAGTGGTGGTACACACCTGTGATCCCAGCACTCGGGAGGTGGATCTTTTTGAGTTCAAGGCCAGCCTGGTCAACAGAGCAAGTTCCAGGACAGCCAGGCTACACAGAGAAACACTGTCTCAAAATAAATAGATTAAAAAAAAATTCTTTTAGAAACAAACAAGCCTTACACACATAAATTAGAACTGGACCACTGCATGACCCACTATCCCACATCACCCTCCTCCACCTGTCCACACAGACCCTGAAATGTTGCCAGTGAAGACTGGAGTGTCAGAACCAGGCTATGCTTCACTTATGCACTAAGCTGGCCCACTGTAAGGAAGGGCTTGTCCTCCGCCCACAGTGTCACCTGGGAACAATGCATGCCTATAGGAAGGAATCGGGGAGGGTCTAAAACATGTGACAGCAGGATTGGACTAAGCAAAGCTCAGACACTGGTAAGCCTGTCAAACCAGCTTCTGTGAGACTCACTATATCCATGGGCTCTGGGTTTAACTGATACCACACCTCAATGAAGGTGGAGAGCTATCACACCAAGGGCTTACACATATGCATGTGCACGTGTAAACATGCATACATACAGAGGCGGTGGTGGCGCACGCCTTTAATCCCAGCACTCGGGAGGCAGAGGCAGGCGGATCTCTGGGAGTTCGAGGCCAGCCTGGTCTACAAGAGCTAGTTCCGGGACTGGCACCAAAGCTACAGAGAAACCTTGTCTCGAAAAACCAAAAAGGGGGCTGGAAAGATGGCTCAGTGGTTAAGAGCACTGCCTGCTCTTCCAAAGGTCCTGAGTTCAATTCCCAGCAACCACATGGTGGCTCACAACCATCTGTAATAAGGTCTGGTGCCCTCTTCTGGCCTTCGGCATACACACAGATAGACTATTGTATACATAATAAATAATAAATAAATATTTAAAAAAAAAAAGAAAAACAACAACAACAACAAAAAAAACACCATGCATACATACATACCTCTCTCGCACAACAGAAAAGGCCCTGCAGGGCAGCCTCGGTAGCAAAGGCATCTTAGAGACACATCAGTCTGGGCTGGCACAGACTAGTTGAGCAGCACATCACTTGTCTAACATACCATAGGCCCTGACTTCAACACCGCCCCCACCCCAGAATGTGATGGACTTGAGCTTGATGGAAACAAAAACACACATGAAACAATTTTTAAAATTTTGTGTGTGGGTGTTTTGCCTGCATATATGTGTGTATGCCATGTGCATACTTGGTGCCTACACCAGAGGCCCGAAAAGGGTGTTGAGAATTGAACCTGGGTCCTTGGAAGGAACAGCCAGTATTCTTAACCATTTTTTTTTTTTTTTCCCAAGACAGGGTTTCTTTATGGTTTTGGAGCCTGTCCCGGAACTAGCTCTTGTAGACCAGGCTGGTCTCGAACTCACAGAGATCCACCTGCCTCTGCCGTTCCTGCGGAGACCAGGAAAGCAGAAGCGAGGGCTGGGAGCCTGCTCGCCAAATTTATAGGCAAACTTTAGCCTGAAGCGAACACGCCCCCCTAAGGAGTGGGACTTATCCCTACATCTCCCCTTTTTGTCTAAATAAGACAGAACTAAACCAAATACAACTATATACAATAATAACAAATAATAAATATAACAAACAATATTGAGAATCAAAAGTTTTGCTAAACATTCTATCTCAAGGAGTCTAAATAATGTAGAGAGTAACTACAATTATATAATCTTCAACTCCATCAAAGATCCGAGAAGGGAATAAATATTACTTAACAAACGAGATATATCCAAAATGTGTAACAATTGACAGAGACAACTGACTACCTGGGCAATCACCCAAAGTCTCATTTGCAATGTTGAGTCAACCAACTTTGGCTAAGGCCTAACATAACTGACATACCATTATTAAAGGCAAGGAACTTTTCAAAACTATCTTACCCTGTCTAGGCAGGATATGACAGTCCTGTTTTATCCATTGATGCACGCTCTGTATCTCTGTCAGTGGTTGAGCTATGGGCTTTTCTTAACCCAAAGGCCAGTTCTGCCAAGAAGACAAGCTCCCAGTGGAGTGTCTTTGGTGCTCAACATTCTCTCGGGAATAGAGCGGTGTTGCCAGGAGCAATTGTGTCTCACTATCACGAAACTCTGAGTTATATTAAAGGCCATTTTCTACAGCTCTTCGATGAGGTTGAAGATTATCTATCTATACTGAGTATAATCTCTATATATCTAAAGAACCTGATTAGTCTAATTATAAATGACAAACTTAGATGACTATTAATCTATATAATTCTCAATATCTATCTAACTTAAAGACTAAGACAATAAACAACTGTGTAACAAATGAAGATAATGACCTCCAAATATAAACACTGTACAGATATACATTGCAACATGGTAAATATATATCAATACACAAACATTATATAAGTATCTTAATCAGAGGTAGAAATGTACACTGCAATATGGTAAATATATACAATATATATATATATATCAATACAATATATGTCAATACATAAAAATGTTTTAAACAGGTAGAAACATGCATGCATACAATAGTCATTATAATTTAACTTTATCAATATACAAGAATTGATACCAATATATTTGTCTAAAAGCAGTAACTCACAAT